CGCCTCCAGAATGTTTCTGGGAATCAAAGGCACTTTTGATATGCAATATTAGACGCATTCCAGGAACGAGAACTTTCTCTTGCTTGGATTTAAGGCTGTCTGCAGACGGCTTAGACCACCCACTTCCATGGTCTGTTTGAAATCTGCTGTGATTCAGATCAGAGGGCTGGCTACTATCGGCATTTGTGCCGTAGATCTTGCCTAACGTCGGGGGAATCCGCCACATAACTCAACGACGTAGATCAGCCTCCTCCAACCTGGTGCCCTGGAGATGTTTTCGGACAAGATTGTTCTTCCTAAGGAGGTCCTTTTTCTTCCAGGCCAAATGACAGAAGGTCTTGGTGTATTTTGCACTCTCAGCAACACCACAAAAAAACTGCGACTCCCAGGATTCTTTGCGGGGAGCCTTATATAAATGTGAAGTAGCTTTCATACCAACAGAATCGGGTGTCGCTTTTTCCAGGATAAGCCAACAACGAATTTGTCTTACTCATGTGGAAAACCAGATATAGATAGATAGATAGATAGATAGATAGATAGATAGATAGATCTGTGAGCATCAGTTTTTATGGTCTGATCTGATGTTATTTCTTACCTGCCCTTTGCCTACAAGGTCTCAGGGTGCGTTGCAGTGATAAATGAAACAACTACAAAAACAGTTATAACCTAAAAAGAAAAGAAAAGAAAAGAGTAAAAGCAATAAAGAATGGTTCCATACATAAAACAGTTACAATCAATTTGGCACATTTAAAAACAGGTCCACATCTCAGAAACAGTTTCAGTATTATTGCATTATGAAAACAGTTCTAACATATATATATATATATGGGTTTTTGCATCCTGTTTTTCGCCATGTAGGTCTCCAAGCACTTTGCCTCAATAAAATATACAATATACAAAGTTTAAAATATAAAATAAGCTTCCAAAATTTAAAAGCTGCCTCTGAAAATGGAGGCAGAAGATCACCATCAGTGTTATCAGCCAATGGTAGCTTTCTCCTCCATGAATTTGTTCAATCCCCTTTTCTTTGGTCAAAATAATTTTTATTTGATTTTTAAAATATGAATTTATATAACCATAATAAATACACATCCGTATAAAGAGATTACTCTGAATCTCGGGACTTGCCCCCCCCATCCTCTCCATGGGTCTATTGTCAACATTTTCAACTGCATATTATTTCCTAATTATATTTTATGGCTATCCATATTGTCCATAGTATTGGTTACATTACAAGTGAGATTAAAATCCTGCTAATGTTTTCATCTGCTTACAGTGTTCTCCTAAATAAATTATAAACTTTTCCCATTCTTCCTTGAATTTCTTGTCTTCTTGGTCCCTGAGCTTTCTGGTCAATTTTGCCATTTCAGCAAAGTCTACCAGCTTAGTTTGCCATTCCTCTCTGGGCCAGTAGCATCCGTGCTGCTGTTGTCACATACATAAAGAGTCTTTCCTTTTCCTTTGGAATGTCAGTACCTATAATTCCTAATAGAAAGGCTTCTGGGTTTTGTTTTGTTTTTTTATAAAAGTTATTTTAAACATTTTTTTCCAGTTCATTATATATCGTATCCCAGAAATGTCCAATCCCTTTTTCAAAGCCATACAAGTTGTTGAGCAACACTAACTCTTGTGGAAATCTTTTTTCTGAGATACTGAATGAACTTCTGTCTGTTCCCTGGCATGCCACACTTTCACCTGTTTAGCCTGGGTATGTTTGAAGAAGAAGAAGAAGAAGAAGAAGAGGAGGAGGAGGAGTTTGGATTTGATATCCCGCTTTATCACTACCTGAAGGAGTCTTAAAGCGGCTAACATTCTCCTTTCCCTTCCTCCCCCACAACAACACTCTGTGAGGTGAGTGAGGCTGAGAGACTTCAGAGAAGTGTGACTGGCCCAAGGTCACCCAACAGCTGCATGTGGAGGAGCGGGGAAGCGAACCCGGTTCCCCAGATTACGAGTCCACCGCTCTTAACCACTACACCACACCCTGTAGACTGAGAGGAGATACAACAGCCATCTTCAAACATCTGAAGGGTTGTCACATGGATGATGGAGCAAGCCTGTTTTCTGCTGCTCTGGAGGGATAAGACCCGAACCAAAGCACAGCAGCAAACAAATGAAATTCAGTTAAAGGCTATACAAGCATATGAACCTGCTGTAGTGACGGAGGCTTCAGAGATGGAGGGACCTTTGGACGGGCAAGATCAGCCTTGAACTTGATAAATGAACTTGGGACAAACCAGATTCGGAAAGATGAAATGTGGTCAGATTTGGAAAAGGGGGATGGATCGACTCCCTCCATATGGTTATTTGGACCTTCCGAGTCTGGTGATGGGCTATCAGAGGATTGGAGTAGCCGAAGTCTCCAAGCTTTGTGGAAATTTGAAGTGGTATTATTTGCTGTCTGGCTTGGGCAATGGGTTTGGGATGGACTTGCTGCAAAGGGTCAAAAGCATTTTCTTGCTGGAGCATCCACGACTGGAAAGGAATCATCAACAAGAGTGGCGAAAGGGGCAAGAAAGAGACTTGAGGGCCTCGGATACGAGACAACCAGGTTAAGGAGCCGGATTATCGAGGTTAAAAGGACTGACAATCCCGGGTCCAGGGGAGGGGAGGTTGGAAGCTGACTGGACTGAATTTGACTTATTATTTTTTCTTTTTTCTTTTTTAATATTGGGAATGCTTACAAATGTTTGAAGGATGTTGAATGAAATTACATGGCTTAAGTAAGGATTGGTAAATGATTCGTAAAAAGGTAATGATGCAAGAATTTGGTAAATATTGAATATAAGCTATGAGTTTTAAAGTTTTTATATGACAAGAGGGAAAATAGAATAAGGAAACGTAATGACAGATTGTTATGAAAAAACAGAAAGGATTTGCTGTAAAAATTAAAAATTAAGAAACAAAAGAGGGAGGAGGAGGAAGTCTAGAAAGGAAGTCAATAGAGATTGTAAAGGACTTTATATTTTTGTTTTTCTGTTTCTCTTTTTTTTCTTTGCGGCTGGGTTTTCTTTTCTTTTTTGTTTATGTACTATTTTTGTTTTTTGTATCCTTAAATTTTTTTTTGGAAATTTTTGTTGTTATTTTTTGAAAATTCAATAAATATCAATTATAAAAAAAAAAAAAAGACCCGAACCAATGGCTTCAAATTGCAAGAAAGGAGATTTTGACTAAGCACCAGGAAGAACTTTCTGACAGTGAGGGCTGTTTACACCCCGTACTCTGTTGCTTTCACATCTCCCTGCCTTACAGTTCAGGCAGACTTTTCCTGGCGCTGTCGTGGCAAACAACTTGCCTTAGCAGCTTTTAGAGACTGTTCCTCTACAAACAGCTAGGTAATTTCAATGAGGTTTAGTGGGTGGGGGGAGGTATTCAGCCTGCTAAATAACGTGACACATGCACAATGAAGCATGGAAGCCCCTGGGGGCTCGAATCTCACGCTTTTAGGTGAAGGAAGAATTTTCTAGAGGAAGCCAGAGTGGAAACTGGAGACATTTGCAGGCAATCACAAGTGTGCTGTGTCTGGGAAAGACGGGGCGAAGCTGTAAGGAGCGACGGGAATAACTTGAATATTTGGAAGTGGCGGGGGGAATAATAATAATAATAATGGTGAGTTTGCAGACAAGCCCCACTGTGTATGGCCAAACTGAGGGGAAGAGGCTCCTGGGGAATAGTGTGGAATAAAGTAATTCCAGGGCTTTGGAGCACAGCCACGAGGGGAGATTGCATCCAGATTTCCATGGGTGTATGAGATAGGGAATAGGGAACATCAAACGTGTCCCAGGCAGAGGCCACTGCCCTGCTGTGAATGCTGGAGATTTAATTTAAGGAGACATCAAGTGGGCTCCTCGCCAGGCTGCACAATCCAGTTCTTAAATGTCTGAGGAGGGCTGCCATATCTACCAACAGGTTGCATGCAAAAGCTGCATCAAACTGGAATATAACATTCCAAGGTTTGGGCAATCCACAGCCAGACACTGCAGTACCGTTTCCAGCTGCTAAGTGCCGCTGTGGAGAAAGGGGTTCCAGGCTGATTCTCGTCTAGGAAGGGCAAATCCAGTCTTGATGGTGCCTGGTCACCTTCCAGTATAATAATGTTATCTATACTGTGCCCTGGCAGTCAGAAAACCAGGATTCCATTCCACAGCCCTTCATTCCAGAACAATAACACAGAATCACAGAACTGTAGGGTTGGTGGAGATTCAATTGGCTATCTAGACCAACCCACTGCAGTGAACATGTTTCTTTCTATACACCCTGAGCAAGCTGGAGTTAACTATGAGCAAGAAAGGATCTGCACAGGAGTGCTAGGCCTAATGATCACAGAACTCAGGTCTTGCCCCAGGAAGCAGTTGCCAAGACTAAAGGTCCCTGTGGTCCCCACAGCCATAGACATCTCCTCCTTTCCAGGGTGTTTTCCAAGCAGTCGGAGACTGCACCTGCATGTCTGCCTTTGCTCCTCTTGCTTCATGCCTCTCCTGGTTCTGTGAGGCCAGTGGGGAGGGGAGCTTGTTGCAGCAGGAGGGGGGATGCCCTGGCTTCTTAACCAGCTTGTCTTATCTCTTGGCCTCCCTCCTCTCCTGATTCTGCTTCTAGACCTCTCTCTGCCACAGACTCTTCCAGCTCACTAAGCCCTGTTGCCTCATCATCTTCCGACACCTCCTCCTCCCAGTCTTCTCCCTCTTCTCTCACTGATTGCTCATTGTCACCCCACCACTAATCCCCAGACTCTGAACCTTCCTACCTTGGGGGGGAGGGTTCCCCAGCTAGTTCCTCCCACCATTCCTCTGCATCCAGCCAGTGCATGAAAACAAGGTTGTTGTGCCATGCCACATTGATATAGTTCCATCATCGCGGAGGCCGCACTGTTGCTGTTTAGTCGTGTCCGACTCTTCGTGACCCCATGGACCAGAGCACGCCAGGCACTTCTGTCTTCCACTGTCTCCCGCAGTTTGGTCAGACTCATGTTTGTAGCTTTGAGAACACTGTCCAACCATCTCGTTCTCTGTCCATCTCCCCTTCTCCTTGTGCCCTCCATCTTTCCCAGCATCAGGGTCTTTTCCAGGGAGTCTTCTCTTCTCATGAGGTGGCCAAAGTATTGGAGCCTCAGCTTCACGATCTGTCCTTCCAGTGAGCACTCACGGCTGATTTCCTTAAGAATGGATGCGTTTGATCTTCTTGAAGTCCATGGGACTCTCAAGAGTCTCCTCCAGCACCATAATTCAAAAGCATCAATTCTTCGGCGACCAGCCTTCTTGATGGTCCAGCTCTCACTTCCATACATCACTACTGGGAAAACCATGGCTTTAACTATACGGACCTTTGTTGGCAAGGTGATGTCTCGGCTGTTTAAGATGCTGCCTAGGTTTGCCATCACCTTTCTCCCAAGGAGCAGGCGTCTTTTAATTTCGTGACTGCTGTCACCATCTACAGTGATCATGGAGCCCAAGAAAGTAAAATCTCTCACTGCCTCCATTTCTTCCCCTTCTATTTGCCAGGAGGTGATGGGCCCACTAGAGAATAACATTTATATGAGATTTGTGCAGGCTTTGGAGTATTGCACACCGCTTAGGAAGCTGTCTTATTCTAGCAGGAAAGAGTATTTGCCTACCTTGGCGGCTGCCAGGAGATTGGTTTGCTTGAGTTCTCCCAGCTCCTACGCCACCTGGTTGGCAATCTGTGTGTGTTTGGCTTGTGAGAATGCAAGTTGTGTGGGCTTGCTGCGCCCTGGTTTAAGCGCACTTAGTGGACCATCACTTTCCCCATTTTTTTGTTTTTATGAAAAAGGCTCTGCCTGCTGTCACATCCCTGCTGTATCTCAGAGGAAAGAGCAGCCAGCTTCAATGCGCCTCACAGTGATGAGTGAAGAAGAGTCTTTTTCATGAAGTGTGCTGCGAGATGCCAGGAGCACAGCTAAACCACTTTCGCTCAGCTTTCCGTGCTCTCAGTAGTGGCTCAACCACAGCCTTGCCTTGAACACAGACTTTTTGTTTTTAACAACCAGGGTGGGGTGGAAATATTTGCTTTCCATTGCAGACATCTTTCTTAACTCCCTGGAAAGAGAAGCTGGAGGAATTCTTTTTCAGTGAATTTTGATGGCCTGATCACAAACTCCTGGGCTCTTATCTCCTGGGCAACGGTCCTTTGGATTTTGCACTTCTCCAAATTTTGCAACTGATTTACAACTCCCCCCAAAAGACCAAAAATGTTTGGAAGTGTTTGCATTGGGATAATATTTTGTGATAAAATATTTATTCATAAGTATTTAAATGCGAATCCTCAATGTTTTTGCAGATTTAATAAAACAGATTAATGAGGAAACAGGACAAAAAGGAGCTAACAAACCCAAGGTTCACATGTGACATGGAATGAACTGATCAACCCGTCCCTACGCCTGCACAATACCTCTCTTCCCCTCCAACTTTATACTGGATACAACATACATTGAACGTAATTAATCTATAGAAAAGTGACAAAGTTTGAGGAAGAGTGGAGTAAATTCGTTGCGTACATACGAAATAACTGCAGAAGTTTAAAAGTTGTAGCAGGGCTGACATAAATCTAGTGATGTATATAGAATGTAATTAAGAAACTGCAAGAGTGGATGTAAGGTGGGAAAACCGAAGCAGGGAAGGAGGGAAGTCCGGGCACAAAACTGCGCAAAGTAAATAAGAAGACGAAAAAGGTCGATTGTAAAAGGCAAGTTTTATTTAATTTTGTTATGTTTTATTTAATTTTGTTATGCTTGTGAAAATCAATAAAAAGTATTTTTTTTAAAAAATCTATAGAAAAGACTGTACATTGCGGGGTGGTGTGTGTGAGAGAGAGAGAGAGAGATTGCACGTTCTTATGTAATCCAAGAATTTTTTAAATAAAAATTATTTCAAACAAAATAAAGAGAACGTGTTAGCTGCCTTCCCTGGATGAGATGACAAGTCCGTCTAGTCCATCCTCTCTCTCCCGTCTCACAAGTCAGATGTGCTTCCAACTCTTGCAAGCCAGACCATGCAAACATCCAGACCGCTGGGGTGTCTTTGCACCTTGTAGGTCAGGAAATATTGTCAGTTACCAGAGCTAGGTGGAAACCTGTGCTTCCTCCCCATACTGTGTTCATTGTTCTCTGAGCCTCGAAACCCTCCTCATGCCCAGTCAGTTTTCCTCCCTCTTGCATGGGGGCCTGAAAGCCTCGATTCACCTGGTGATGTGCAGCCTTGAGTGGCATTTATCTTGCAGTGGCTGCAGCCTCCTCATCCCACAGGAAGAGATGTCGATGCTGATCAGTCACATCCATTTTTTACCCCCAGCAAAGGCCTTTTCCCATTCTCCTCTCCCCCCCTTTTGCTCAGGATTTGAAGAAGGCCATCGGACTGAACTTGTGCTGTATCCCTTCGCCACAAGCCCACCAGCCCCTCATTAGTATTCTCCACATTACACACCGGCTAAATCTGCCCTTGCGTTTCGATCACTGCTGTTTGCAATTACATGCGCGCACCAGCGAATGTGAGCATGGCTTGTGTGCTTTGCCTTTCTGCCTTTGATTGCGGAGAATTATATGTTGCACAGTTGTGTGTGAGGCCGAATAATTGTATATGGTTTTGCGCAGATGATCCCTGTGTAAACATATGTAGGTACATAGCCCACTGATGTTGGTGTATAATTTTCATGTGTAATTGGAATGCATGCAATCTATGGAAAGCATGATGTATCAAATTAAGAGTCGTTACCAAGATTAGATGATGGGGGGGGGCCGCAGTGCAGAAGTAGGTGAAGGGAGGCAGAAAGTCTTGAGCTTAAACTCTGGCATCTTGAAAGGGTAGGACATCAGCTAGCAAGGCTAGCAAAGACCCTTCAAGGAGACTTGGACTATGGCGGGTCTGTGCCAATACCAGAGTCAGCAATTCTGGGCTGGAGAGACCAATCGCCTGACACTATAAGGGAGATTCATGGGTCTATTTCTGGATGAGAGTGCATTTGGTGGCAGCTCGTGTTGCCTCTGGAGAGCTGTGTCCAGTTCTGGGTGAAGTGTTGGTCAGCTGGAGTGGACTTAGAGGAGGGCAACGAGGAATGGCGAGAACTTTGCAGAAGTGGCCAGGGAGGCAGTGCAGGTCAATCTCAGTTGTTCTCCTGGCTTTCCAACACAACACTGAAGGAGAGGAGATATTATTGTTATTTTATTTATACCCTGCCCATCTGGCTGGGTTTCCCCAGCTACTATGAGCGGCTCCCAACAGAATATTAAAAACATAATAAAACATCAAACATTAAAAACTTCCCTAAACAGGGTTGCCTTCAGATGTCTTCTAAAAGTCAGATAGTTCTTTGTTTCCTTGACATCTGGTGGGAGGGCGTTCCACAGGGCGGGTGCCACTACCGAGAAGGCCCTCTGCCTGGTTCCCTGTAACTTCACTTCTCGCAGTGGGGGAACTGCCAGAAGGCCCTCGGAGCTGGACCTCAGTGTCTGGGCTGAACGATGGGGGTGGAGACGCTCCTTCAGGTGTACTGGGCTGAGGCCGTTTAGGGCTTTAAAGGTGAGTATCAACACTTTGAATTGTGCTCAGAAACGTCCTGAGATAGAGAGAAGTCGTGATTCCAGCTGGCCTTTTGGAGAAACCTCCCAAGAGCATAGGCTAATCCACTCTTCCATTTGTCCTATTATTTCTAAACTTAGAGGTTTTTACTTTTTTCAGTTTACTGCTGAGTCGGAAGAAGCGTCAATCCACAAGCATTTTGTTCTGATTCAGCAGGAAACATCCTGGGGAAAGCAGCAGGCTGAACGAAAACTGTCTTGGATCCATGGACAGTTCCAAGATCCCTTCCAACTCTATAAAGTCTGGTTAGAATAATCCACAGATGTAACAGGTTGGGGCCAATGAGAGCTGTACTCCTACAATGTCTGGAAGGGCACGTTGACTATTTCTGGCGGAGCTTGTGTACTGTATTTGGTATAATGCAGCTCGCTCTGTTTCCAACCGTCTGGAGTGAAATAAATGTGGCATTTAACCTTCACATCTAACATCTGGCAGAATCAAATTTTACTATACAGTTGTACTTTGGTTTTTAAACAGAATGTGTTCCGGAAGTCCATTTGACTTCAGAAACATTCAGAAACGAAGGCGCGGCTTCCGATTGGCTGCAGGAGCCAATTGGAAGTCGCACCAGACATTCAGCTTCCAAGGCAGAGTTTGCGAACCAGAACACCTACTTCCAGGTTTGCGATGTTCGAGTTCCGAGTTGTTCATGAACTAAGCTGTTCGAAAACCAAGGTACGACTGTACTCAGTCACAGCTACCTGTTAAACAGGAGATAAAACATTGCAGTTGTGCAATCACTAATATAATGAATTGTATAGCATCTAGATCAAGGGAAGTAATAGTGCCACTGTATTCTGCTCTGGTCTGACCTCACCTGGAGTACTGTGTCCAGTTCTGGGCACCACAGTTCAAGAAGGACACTGACAAACTGGAACGTGTCCAGAGGAGGGCAACCAAAATGGTCAAACGATGCCTTATGAGGAACGGCTAAGGGAGCTGGGCATGTTTAGCCTGGAGAAGAGGAGGTTAAGGGGTGATATGATAGCCATGTTCAAATATATAAAAGGATGTCACATAGAGGAGGGAGAAAGGTTGTTTTCTGCTGCTCCAGAGAAGCGGACACAGAGCAATGGATCCAAACTACAAGAAAGAAGATTCCACCTAAACATTAGGAAGAACTTCCTGACAGTAAGAGCTGTTCGACAGTGGAATTTGCTGCCAAGGAGTGTGGTGGAGTCTCCTTCTTTGGAGGTCTTTAAGCAGAGGCTTGACAACCATATGTCAGGAGTGCTCTGATGGTGTTTCCTGCTTGGCAGGGGGTTGGACTCGAGGGCCCTTGTGGTCTCTTCCAACTCTATGATTCTATGATTCTATAAAATGAGCTAATATGGGAGATACAAAATAATAATTAAAAAAGCAGAACTGCACTTAAACATAGAGAATCTCTTTGTGAATCTTTGCAATTGGTTGATAAGAGAAAATAAGATGGTAATCTGGTTATTCTTTTGACCATATCAGCCAGAAAGCCGGATCCCATACAAAAGTCTTTCCTGGGTGTTTTAGTAAGCCAGGAGTGAATTATCTATTTTGCTCTTTTCTGGAAATGTTTCCTATAGAAAGGGAAGGCATTAAAGCTTCTGTCCCCGCAGAGACAAAACCATTCTTTATAGGAAATGCAGGAGGTGGAGTAACAGCCACCCAGCACAGTGGAAGGAAAGCAATTAAATCTTGCTCCACAAAGATCAGTGGATATTTTGGAACAGTCAGGTTATCCGAATAATTGGCATGGCCTTTTAAAAAGTCAATAGACAACCCAGGATGAATTGGAGAGCAAGTTTTACAAGCCGCAGTCAGAGTGCTGTACATCAATATCCTTAATCCAAAGATTAAGCATGGATTTTTTCCTGACCATGACCCCACCTCCCATGCGCCAATTTTGACCGGTGGGTGGGACAACCTGACTGTCAATCAGAGAAAACCGAGGAGCGATAGCATAGCCGTCTTCAAACATCTGAAGGGTTGTCACATGGATGATGGAGCAAGCTTGTTGAACAGTGGAACAAGCTATTTCAGATAGCCTCTCCTTTGGAGCTCTTTAAGTAGAAGTTAGGTGTTGGTGTAATTTAGAAATATGGGTGGAATTATTCCTAAATTCTTGGGTGATGTCTTGAGCAGCCCATCCCTCCCCAACTGGATTCTGTTCAGCAAAAAGACCCAACTGCACGGGTGTCAGGAATAAATCGCAGGGAGTGTTGGGATGCTGCCGGGAGACGGGGGCAATTGGCAGGCCCCCAGCTGGCTCCAGCCACCGGCCGGCAGTCGGGCGAAACTCCGGATTTCGGAACAGCATCAAAACTGCGACTCAAGCCTCAGAAACCTTTAGAGACCGAGCACGCAATCCAGCAGAGATAAGAACTCTTTGCAGCAGAAGTAGCGGACAGAGACATGTGTAAGCATATTTACAGCATTTATTCAGCAGCAGGACAAAGGAAAAACATGTCTGCTTCCCTTCGTGTTCAAGCAAAACAGCAGCAAAGCAAAAGCAACATACAATGGAAGTTCCCAGCAGACTGTGCTGGAAGTAAACAGACATGTGACATACAACAACTCCACATGCCTGTTCTAAAGGTGGAACGGAACTGTATCCTAACAGGGAGTAGGTGAACTCTTTGTTAGTAGAAACATGGTCAGCTCAGGAGCGCCAGGCTTCACGAGTATCTCAACTCTTCTCGGTAGGTCTTGCCCCTATGAGGCAGTTGTGGAGACTGAAGTTCCCTGCCTCCCCAGAGCTGCCTAGGTCTTCTCTTCTCCAGAGCCCTTCCCAAGCAGTCTGAGACTCTGTTGACATTCTTGTCTCTGCTCCCCCCCTCTTCATACCTCTTCTGGTCCTGAGAGACCAGCGGGGAGGGGAGCTGGTTGCAGCAGGAGGGGAAGACTCCCTGGCTTCTTCAGCTGCCTGACTCATCTCTGCTTCTTGGCCTCCCTCCTCTCTGGATTTGTGTAGGGTTTACTCCTTAGCCTATAGATTAATCCAGTCACGAGGGCCTAACATCTTACCTAGACTGGCCCTTTGACATATAGAGATTAGTTCCGTTTTTCTCAATGTCGCTTGTAGGGAAGATCAAGGGTGGTCAACAAGGTGACTTCAATATGGACTACAACTCCCAGCAACTGCAGCCAACCTGGCCTGTAGTCAGGGATGATGGGATTTGTAGTCCTACAACATCTGGCACGTTGCATAGCCCAGTGCAGCTTTCAACCTTACGCTGGGCAAGTTATAGGAATATCCCAGCAATAATGTTGGCTGCCGTTCTTCCATGCGAAGGAGACGGGGAGAATCTGGAGGAAAGGCAAACCTCGCTGGTAAGAGGACGGTGCCTTTTTATTTTTATTTTTTGAGAAACAGCTCTTTAAATGGCATTTGCATTTGTAGAAACTCAGGCACCGCAAGCGAAGTAGCTTCCAAATGAGGCGAGATGCTTCATTGAATGTCATTTCTCCGTGATAATTCCAATTGCTGTTTGGTACATGTCATTAGCTGTCAGTAATAAATTTACATAGCGGTGGGGGGGGATGACAAATGACAACTGCCGATGCAGGTGGCACGCCAACAGGGGCAGAAATTAATACGTGTGTGTGTGTGTGTGTGTGTGTGTGTCTGTCTGTCTGTCTTCTGAATGCAGATATGACATCAAAGCGGAGTTGGAGTGGAAATTAAACTGTAGGGTTGGTTTCTCTGGGTTTTTCCTGCCGTGCTGAAAAAGGCTTCTCCCCTTTCAAGCTACTTTCGCACTGCTTGAGAAAACATTTGCCTGCTTGCTTGGACCACCGCCTTGCCAACGTGGGGATCCAGGGCACAGTCCTTCAATGGCTGCGCTCGTTTCTCTCCGGTCGGGGACAGAGGGTGGCGCTTGGGGGGGAATTGTCATCGCGCCACTCCTTGGTGTGTGGAGTCCCTCAGGGTGCGATTCTCCCCCTGATGCTTTTCAACATCTTTATGCGCCCCCTCGCCCAGCTTGTCCGGAGTTTTGGGCTGGGTTGCCATCAGTATGCTGATGACACCCAACTCTATCTGTTGATGGATGGCCATCCTGACTCGGCCCCAGACACACTGACCAGATGTTTGGAAGCTGTGGGTGGATGGTTATGTGGGAGCCGGTTGAAGCTAAATCCTTCGAAGACAGAGGTCCTGTGGCTGGGACGGGACGATATGGGATTGGGGGGGCAACTCCCATCTCTTGCGGGGGCGCAATTAGTGCCAGCACCGTCCGTTAAGAGTTTGGGTGTAATCTTCGACACCTCTCTTTCCATGGAGGCGCAGATTGCAGCTACAACAAAGGCGGCATTTTTCCATCTCCGCCAAACTAAGCAGTTGGCTCCTTACCTCTCTCGCCCTGACCTAGCCACTGTGATCCATGCGACGGTCACCTCCAGACTGGATTATTGTAACTCGCTCTACGTGGGGCTGCCCTTGAGACTGACCCAGAAACTCCAGCGGGTGCAGAATGCCGCGGCGAGACTCCTTACGGGGTCTTCGCTGTGAGATCACATTCACCCGGTGCTATACCAGCTGCACTGGCTCCCGGTGGAGTACAGGATCAGGTTTAAGGTGCTGGTTTTAACCTTTAAAGCCCTATACGGCCTAGGACCCTCGTACCTACGGGACCGCCTCTCCTGGTATGCCCCACAGAGAAATTTGCGGTCTTCAAATAAAAACATCTTGAAGGTCCCAGGCCACAGAGAAGTTAGGCTGGCCTCAACTAGAGCCAGGGCTTTTTGGCCGTGGCTCCGATCTGGTGGAACACTCTGTCACAAGAGACCAGGGCCCTGCGGGACTTGACATCTTTCCGCAGGGCCTGCAAGACAGAGCTGTTCCACCAGGCCTTTGGCCAGGGCACAGCCTGACTCCCTCCCTCGGCAATCTTCGCGGAGCTCTGGCCCAATGGTTGCCAGTGGCTTGAATTAATTAATTTTATAATGAATGATTTTAGAGTGTTGTTTGTGCTGTACTTTTGTACTGTTTTATTGTTGTTAGCCGCCCTGAGCCCGGCTTCGGCTGGGGAGGGCGGGATATAAATAAAATTTATTATTATTATTATTATTATTATTATTATTAACCTAAGATCTGGTTAACCTGCTAGATAACTTGGCAATCTGCCGGTTATTTGGTCTGATGCAGCAGATCACCAGGACCACCTAGGCGGCCTGCAGGGGCTAACAAGATTCCCTTACAGGAAGCCTTCAGGCAGGAACCAAGTGCAACAAGCCCCTCCCAGCTTGGGATTCCCAGTGACTGACATCCAGGTGCATCTTGCCTCCAGCAGTGGAAGTGGAACATAGCCATTGTGGCTAGCGGCCACTCCAAACCATGGGTAGGCAAACTAAGGCCCGGGGGCCGGATCTGGTCCAATAGCCTTCTAAATCCAGCTCACGGATGGTCCGGGAATCAGCATGTTTTTACATGAGTAGAATGTGTCCTTTTATTTAAAATGCATCTCTGGGTTATTTGTGGGGCCTGCCTGGTGTTTTTACATGAGTAGAATGTGTGTTTTTATTTAAAATGCATCTCCGGGTTATTTGTGGGGCCTGCCTGGTGTTTTTACATGAGTAGAATGTGTGTTTTTATTTAAAATGCATCTCCGGGTTATTTGTGGGGCCTGCCTGGTGTTTTTACATGAGTAGAATGTGTGTTTTTATTTAAAATGCATCTCCGGGTTATTTGTGGGGCCTGCCTGGTGTTTTTACATGAGTAGAATGTGTGTTTTTATTTAAAATGCATCTCCGGGTTATTTGTGGGGCCTGCCTGGTGTTTTTACATGAGTAGAATGTGTGTTTTTATTTAAAATGCATCTCCGGGTTATTTGTGGGGCCTGCCTGGTGTTTTTACATGAGTAGAATATGTGTTTTTATTTAAAATGCATCTCCGGGTTATTTGTGGGGCATAGGAATTCATTCATTATTATTTTTTCAACATATAGTCTGGCCCACCACAAGGTCTGAGGGATAGTGGACCAGCCTCCTGCTGAAAAAGTTTGCTGACCCCTCCTCCAAACTCTCTTTTAAAACCATCCAAGTTGGTGGCTTCAGTCCCTCTCGCGGGAGCGAGTTTTATGCGCTGTGCAAAGAAGTCCTTTCGTTCGTTTGTCTTCAAATCATCCCAACGCTCAGCTTCGTTGGGCGGCCTCGAGTTCAAATGCTGAGAGAGACAGACAAAAGCTTCCCTCAACCCACTTTCTGCACCCCATGCAAAATCATATCCCCCCCCATTTAAATCTGCAGTTTTATATATAAATTACCATATACGAATGTAATGCAGATGTGTGTGTGTCCCTTTTTGACTTTTGTTCCATGACGCATTTGCTCCTGCATTTTGGGGGGTTGGACTAGATGACCCCTGGGGTCCCTTCCAAATCTACAATTCTATGCTTCCATAGTATTTCTAACAGTGGGTAAGTGGGTGCTATTGACATTAGCAGACCATACATTCAAAACACATTTGTAAGCCTCTCATTGCCAACAAAGGTCCGTATAGTTAAAGCCATGGTTTTCCCAGTAGTGATGTATGGAAGTGAGAGCTGGACCATAAAGAAGGCTGATCGCCGAAGAATTGATGCTTTTGAATTATGGTGCTGGAGGAGACTCTTGAGAGTCCCATGGACTGCAAGAAGATCAAACGCATCCATTCTGGAGGAAATCAGCCCTGAGTGCTCACTGGAAGGACAGATCGTGAAGCTAAGGCTCCAGGACTTTGGCCACCTCATGAGAAGAGAAGACTCCTTGGAAAAGACCCTGATGTTGGGAAAGATTGAGGGCACAAGGAGAAGGGGACGACAGAGGACAAGATGGTTGGACAGTGTTCTTGAAGCTATGAACATGTGTTTGACCAAACTGCAGGAGACAGTGGAAGACAGAAGTGCCTGGCGTGCTCTGGTCCATGGGGTCACGAAGAGTCGGACACGACTAAACGACTAAACAACAACAAGCCTCTCATATGCTGTAAGCTGCCCAGAGCGGCTGGGAAAACCCAGCCAGATGGGTGGGGGTATATCTAATAAAATTATTATTATTATTATTATTATTATTATTATTATTATTATTTTCTCCTCTTCCTTCTTAACCCCCCCCCAAAAAAAAACACACACACACCAGTTAACTGTAGTTTGTGAAGGGGTGCTGTGAACCATAGTTCTGCAAAGGGCAAAACTACATCTCCCAAGATTCTTGAGGGGGTGGGTTCCTTTAAATGCATTATGTTTACACAGCCTTTGTGCCTGTTTTCAGTTACGATGGAACATTGCTCTGCATCAAAATCAGACATAGCTGCTTTAGAGCTTAATCCAAAAGGCAAGTCCGCCTTCTGCTCTGCGTTTTGCATTAAGCTTTTGGAGAAGTCTGGCTGCAGTCGGTTTCCTTTTTCCTTGTGTCTCCTTTCGATGCAATTTCACAGCTTTCCCCGGGCCCTCGACCCACTGTTTATGCAGTCTTGGCGGCTGCATGTTCAGGCAACTGCCGGTAACCTTGGAGACTTGTCAATGCGACGGGAGAGGAAGCTGGCTTCCCTCTCTGAAGCCCAGACAAGGGGCAGACATTTGCCATTAAAGGAGACCTTCCCGCAATTTCTCTCTTAGTGTTCAGTAAATGTTCCTGCCCTGCCATTAGCAGAACACTCTCCATCTTCTAAGCGGCTCTGTATCTTCATGTCATTAATTCACGTGGCAACCCTCTGTTGTTAATCAGCTCCTATCCCCCTTTTCCGTAAGCCTCTAAACTCAAAGGGAAACACAACAAAACCAAACAAATGAAAGGATTCAGCGAGCGATTCATAGCACAAGCTGTGTACACACCGTATGTTTGAAGCACCCGAAAGAATTCTGGGAACTTACCCCTCGCAGGGCTACAGTTCCTGGGATTCTTATGGGCAGTTGTGCGTTTTAAATATGCTTTAAATGCATGGAAAGAGCGCGAGATCTTACCTCATTCGCGCTTTCTGAAACGAGACAAAAGTCAAAACACAGCCACCTTTTTGAAATTTGCACTTTTTGAAATTTCGCGGTGCAGTTTCCCAGCATATAATATGCATATAATGGGGGGGAAGCATATACAAATGCATATATTAGTGGAAATAATATGAAGTAAGGCTCCATGATCACTGCAGATGGTGACAGCAGTCACGAAATTAAAAGACGCCTGCTCCTTTGGAGAAAAGCAATGACAAACCTAGACAGCATCTTGAAAAGCAGAGACATCACCTTGCCAACAAAGGTCCATACAGTTAAAGCCATGGTTTTCCCAGTAGTGATGTATGGAAGTGAGAGCTGGACCATAAAGAAGGCTGATCGCCGAAGAATTGATGCTTTTGAATTATGGTGCTGGAGGAGACTCTTGAGAGTCCCATGGACTGCAAGAAGATCAAACGCATCCATTCTGGAGGAAATCAGCCCTGAGTGCTCACTGGAAGGACAGATCCTGAAGCTGAGGCTCCAATACTTTGGCCACCTCATGAGAAGAGAAGACTCCCTGGAAAAGACCCTGATGTTGGGAAAGATGGAGGGCACAAGGAGAAGGGGACGACAGAGGACGAGATGGTGGGACAGTGTTCTCGAAGCTACCAGCATGAGTTTGACCAAACTGAGGGAGGCAGTGGAAGACAGGAGTGCCTGGCGTGCTCTGGTCCAGGGGGTCACGAAGAGTCGGACACGACTAAACAACAAGAATATAAGAAATATAAGAGGAGCCCTCCTGGATCAGGCCAGCGTGGGATGGGACCCCAAAGCGGGCGGTGGAGACTGAAAAACATCACAGTGAGGACTGTGAACACTCAGCCGCTGCATAATGCTGCCTGTTTAACTGTCAGGGTGCAAATAGGAGACAGGAACTGGGTGGATGGAATGGAATAGAATGGCTATAACCCCAAATATCTGCACTGTGCGCTGTGACATTCTGTTGCAGTTCTCCATGTGTTTTAGTAGTGCCCTGCTACAACAGCGGGGGTAGGCTCTGTTCCGTTTAAGGTACCGGGAGTCTCAACCTGGTGGCATCTCTGGGGAAAGAGGACTAGAAAAGCCTTCCTTAGGTACCTCGGACAAGGCAGTAGGATCACTGCGGTGCAAGACAGCTGTTTAAATATATCCTAACTTAAAACACTCCCTGAGCGAAAAAAGGCAAGGAACTTGCCAAAAGTAACCAGACTCCTCGAGTAGGTTTGGCTGCTGCCAAAGGAATATTATGCACACTTATTTTTAATAGGAAACCTGAGTCCAGAAAGGTTTGCTACAGATCAGCCAATCCCCTGGAGTGGACAGGGGCAGGCCTGTAACACCAATTAATGCCTCGGAAAGCTGGCATTAAGCCCGTGCCAATTAACACAGCTGCGCTTGTGTCCCTCGCTGAGCCTTCTGGAAAATCTGCCCTCAGAGAGGCGTGGCGGAAGGGCCGTTCCCTTTGCTTTTCCGGCCAAAGTGGGTCTCAGAAAGAGAAGCAGTGTGGCCTAGGGGTTAGAGTGTTGTGGACGACGAGGTGGGAGAGACTGGGGTCCAGATCTGACCCCAGGCTTAAAGCTCACTGGGTGACCATGGACCGGTCACAGTCTCTCAGCCTAATCCATAGCAGAGCGCAGATTTCCACACAGACTGATTCCGAGCACAATTCAGAGTGTTGGTGCTGACCTTTAAAGCCCTAAAAGGCCTCAGTCCAGTATACCTGAAGGAGCGTCTCCACCCCCATCGTTCAGCCCGGACACTGAGGTCCAGCGCCAAGGGCCTTCTGGCGGTTCCCTTGCTGAGAGACGCCAAGTTACAGGGAACCAGGCAGAGGGCCTTCTCGGTAGTGGCACCCGCCCTGTGGAACGCCCTCCCACCAGATGTCAAAGAGAACAACAACCACCAGACTTTTAGAAGGCATCTGAAGGCAGTCCTGTTTAGGGAAGCTTTTAATGTTTAATGCATTATGGTATTTTAATATTTTGTTGGAAGCTGCCCAGAGTGGCTGGGGTAGCCCAGCCAGATGGGCGGGGTATAAATAATAAATTATTATTATTATTATTATTATTATTGCTGGGAACCGGGGGAGGGGAGAGGGCTCTTGTGTTCGAATCCTGCTTGCAGGCTTCCCACAGGCATCTGATTGGCCACTGTGAGAACAGGATCTCTCCTGTTAAAAAAAAAGGCTCAGGGAGCAGACGGTTGGGAAGATCCCTTGCCCCAAACCCTTGAGAGATGCTGGCGTCTAGAGTAGGATATCCTACTACTCATTCAATGCATCACCTTCCTATCCTGAATCTAGCAGCTGAGTTTGCTGACCTTGCAATTATGTATATTTTAAGGGCAGGAACGCAGGTCTTCCTATTTGATCTGAAAACACAAAACTGCTTTAAAATTCCATGAGCCCGGAGACAGGATGTCCCCTAGCAGGGCCACATGCATTTTGTGATTCTAACCAAGTGGTGGGATTTGTTAAGAGGGCTTAGAGATGCAGTGCTCTGAGAACTCTGCTCAACTGGCATGCCTGTTTATTTAACAGATCTATATCCTAATTCCTCCTGAACGTGAGCAACGAGGAGAGTCTTTTGACTAAGAATAATAAAATCATACAATTGTAGCGTTGGAAGCTACACCCAAGGGTCATCTAGTCCAACCCTATGCAATGCAGGAATCTCAGCTAAAGTATTCGTGGCAGATGGCCACCCAACCTCTGCTTAAAAACCTGAAAGTAAGGAGCAAGAGAAAGCAAGCTTGCTCCCTCTTCCATGGGGCAGCCCTTAAGATATTTGAAGGGGGCTATCATCTTCTCTCAGTCTCTTCCAGGCTAAACATTCCCAGCTCCTTCAACCACTCCTCATAAGGCTTGGTTTCCAGACACTTGATAATCTTGGTCGCCCTTGTGCTGGGCCTGGGGGTTAACCCGAGCAACGCGGTCCAGGTCCAGTCCTGAATCCAAGGATTCCGTGAGGAGTCAGTCCGACAGGGCCAAGGCAGGATACAAGGCAGGAAACCAGGCTAGGTCAGGCACAGGGTCTCAGGCAGGTTCTAGCAAACAGCAATATTGTTCCCACAACCTGGGGTGGGGTCCAACAGCCTTTTATCTTTGTCGGGGTAACGGCCGGTCCTGATCCCCCAGCGACTCACCTCCCTGTCTTGCCCAAAGGTGAGCACTCCTCCTGCGAGTACTCAGGTCTCTCCTTCTCTCAGACCTGAGTCTCTGCAGCTCAGGAGATGTCGGTGGGTTACTAGACCCAGAGGCCGCCTCAGCCTCCCCTGACCCAAGTGGTAGTGGAGCAGCTGTAAGTGATGGCCCAGCTGGAGGCAACGAGGTCATCCCCGCATCTGGAGCCAGGGCAGGCTCAGGCCGCTGACTTGGCCCAGCTGGTGCTTGTTGCAGGAAAACCTGTGCAGACTGGGACTCTTCAGAATCAGGCCCCAGACTTGGTTCAGATGCTGCCTGAGGCAAAGGATCCGGTGCGGACTGAAACTCCTCTGGTTCCGAGTTCGAGCCCAAGTCCCAGGTCATCACAGCCCTTCTCTGAACGCCTTGCAGCTTGTCAACATCCTTCTTAAATTTTGGTGTCCAGAACTGGACACAGAACTCCAGGTGTGGTCTGATCAAGGCAGAATAGAGTGGTATTATTCCTTCCCTTGATCTGGACACTATACTTCCGTTGATGCACTCTAGAATAGCGCTAGCTTTTTTTGCTGCTGCATCACACTGTGGACTGACGTTAAGCTTGTGGTCTACTAAGACCTCCCTAGATCCTTTTCACATGTACTGCTAGTAAGCCAGGTGTCCCCCATCCTATATTTGTGCATCTTGGTTCTTCCTGACTAAGTGCAGAACCTTGACATTTGTCCCTGTTGACATTCATTTTGTTAGCTTGGGCCCAGTTCTCCATTTAACATTTTATATGCCGCCCTGTACCCTTAGAACAGCGTCCTCACTCCTCTCTCATTGGCATATAGGAAGCCGCCTTAGACTGAGTCAGACCATTCATCCGTCTAGCTCAGTATTGTCTACACCAGGGGTCAGCAAACTTTTTCAGCAGGGGGCCGGTCCACTGTCCCTCGGACCTTGTGGGGGGCTGCACTTTATTTTTTGGGGGGAAATAATGAACGAATTCCTATGCCCCACAAATAACCCAGAGATGCATTTTAAATAAAAGGACACATTCTACTAATGTAAAAACACGCTGATTCACATACCATCCATAGGCTGGATTTAGAAGGTGATTGGGCTGGATCCGGCCCCCAGGCCTTAGTTGGTCTACACTGACTGGCAGCAGCTCTTGGAGGCTTTGGGCAGGAGGCCAACCCCAGACCTAAGTGGAGATGCTGAAGGCAGTATGCATGCAAAGCAATTGCTATGGCCCTTCCCTTAACAATAATAGTAAGATTCCAGTCTTCACGCTTCTCGGTTTAAGTAGGGGCAAAAGAAATTGCCTTACCCTGACGCAAACCAATTGGTCCATTTCGCTCAAGATTGTCCACAATGCCTGGAAGCAATTTCCCAAAGATTCAGACAAGAGATTTTCCCAGTCCTTTCTGGAGATAGGTAGGTAAAAAAGGGTAAAGGACCCCTGGATTATTAAGTCCAGTCAAAGGCGACTATGGGGTTGCAGTGCTCATCTCGCTTTCAGGCCGAGGGAGCCGGCGTTTGTCCGCAGACAGCTTTCCAGGTCATGTGGCCAGCAGGACTAAACCACTTCTGGCACAACAGGACACTGTGAAACCAGAGTGCACAGAAACGCTGTTTACCTTCCCGCCACAGCGATACCTATTTATCTACTTGGACTGATGTGCTTTCGAACTGCTAGGTTGGCAGGAGCTGGGACCGAGCAACGGGAGCTCACCCCATTGTGGGGATTTGAACTGCCAACCTTCTGATCGGCAAGCCCAAGAGACTCAGTGGTTTAGACCACAGCGCCACCCGCATCCTCCCTGGAGATAGCATACCTGCGGGGTTGGTGTCCAGTGAAATGCGGACATGTTTAAGGGAGCATGTTCAACGTAGGAAAGGCCACGCTAGTGCAAACAGGAACTGAGCAGGAAGAGCTCAGTTTTTGCTTTTGAGGGGATATTTACTGCAACCTTTCACAAGCCCCACAGGAAGTACTGGTGGGTGTATTGTTGCTTACAGGTGCTGCCCATTTTTGCAAACTTACATCTGGCTGTTCTTTTTATGCTGCTATAGTTTTGGAAACCGAGCAAGCAACCAGATTCTACGTCTTCATCTCCGTGCAACGTCCTGTTGCTATGGGGGCAGGGGTGGGGGGCTCAGACCACAGGAGAGGAAAACCCCTGGCCAAAAGTGGATGAAAAAAGGTTTCACGGATGGATGTACAAAGCTCTGGCAAGGGTTGGGGAATGCTATGGAAGCAATTAACCCATGAACTAGCAGGATAAAATAGCTCCAATAAGTGGTCCTCATTGCGGTCATTGTTTGGTGGTTGTGGGGAGACTTAAAATCAGAGACTCCAAAGCATATGGAGAAGTGCCGTCCAGAGAAAACAGACTCCGGGGCATCTGATAGCTTGTTCATGTGGTCTGGCACCTTATCCTGTGGTTTAAACCTACAAAGAAACCACACCCTATATTAGATGCCCCCCCCCCCAATTTCTATATACTGTAATCCATAAAATGTGGGATGTTTGGGATATATAAATATGCTTCCCTGAGTCTCAGCAGAGTCACCCACAGACAAACAAGCACCCGGTTAACGTTTGTAGCGGTGCTTGGAATTGTCATTTTACCCCCCTCCGAAAAGGGCCCAATTCTATTCCAGTTCAATTCGCAATTCAGTCATGTGGTCCTTGGCATCCTCCCCTTCCTCACAGCCAAATCCTACACACTGCTCTGCTAAAGTAGATACTTAAGAAGACATAGGACTCAGCTAGAGTGGTAAAGAAAAAGCAACACTGAGGTCCAGCTCCGAGGGCCTTCTGGCGGTTCCATCACTGCGAGATGTGAGGTTACAGGGAACCAGGCAGAGGGCCTTCTCGGTAGTGGTGCCCTCCCATCAGATGTCAAGAAAATAAACAACTATCTGACTTTTAGAAGACAGCTGAAGGAAGTCCTGTGTAGGGAAGCTTTTAATGTTTGATGTTTTATCGTGTTTTTAACATTAACAACAACACGTTGTATGTGCGATATAATATTGTGCCACCAGAAGGCGACGTGGGGTCCCATTTTTCTCTACCTGCTTTCCCTGTTCAAATTTACAACGCTTTAAACTGAAACACTTCTTTGATGTGTCTGAATCCAGCCTTAGAGGTGGTGAACTCCCCTTCCTTGGAGGTTTTTAAGCAGAGGTTGGATGGTCATCTGTCCTGGATGCTTTAGCTGAGATCCCAGCATTGCAGGGGGTTGGACTACTATACAGTTCTGTGATTCCATTACCTCCAGTGAAAGCACATCACATAGCAGGTCTTTGTTTATTTTCTGACAAATTTTTTAACCGACATGCATTAATGTAACGCCATGGTGGTGTACAGCAATGGCGATAAAAACAGATGGTGTAATTATCAGAAGATAAAAAAAAAAGTTCTGCGGATTAGATGTACCCCTTTAAAAAAAAAAGGAGAGCGTTGTGCGAGAATTTTGCAGGCTGTTTGCCCGCCTCCCTCCCTCCAATCAACTGTCTCAGAAATGGCCTCGTACGAAACACAACGGTCAAAGACGTCATGTGGAGTTTGGGAGCTCTCAAGGGGACTTGGATTCAGTAAAGCAACAAATGGTTTGAATTAGAGAAAATGTATGCAATCGTTTCACTGGGCCCAGATACAATCGCCCTCCGCTGTGGTTCATGTTATGCATGGAAAGAAAGAAAGAAAGAAAGAAAGAAAGAAAGAAAGAAAGAAAGAAAGAAAGAAATCTGCTTCTTTCCAAGAGCGGAGAATTCCAAGCTACCCACCGAAAGGAGTAAGCAGCCATGCTGAGCGCAAATATGCTTGCAAGAGGGGAAAAGAAAAGAGCAAAACAGGTCGGAATCCTCGAAAAAAGAGAAGCCAGCATGATGCAGTAGACAGAAAACTGGCCTGCGCCCAGAGAGAGACGGATTCAAATTCCTGCTCCCATGATGCTCGCTGCAAGAACTTGGGGTGGTTAAGGACTCCACAACTTGAAAGTCAATACACTATATGCACTTTTCTTTGTTTTTGCTTTACTTTGCTTTTTACACAAGAAAATCTTTAATGAAAACTATGAAAAACACACACAGACAGGGTTGAGGATAATATGTACCCTGCCCTAAAGTTCACGAAGGAATGGCAGAATCTGCACATATTATTATTACAGTAAGATAATAATAAGGGACTCTGGTTCTGAAACGTGCACTTTTATGTCAGGATAAATATTAGTTCTTTCTCTTACAGAATACTTTCCAGGACAGGGAAAACTAGTTGTTATATATGTAAAATGGAAGTTCTAGAGACACAAAGGCATTGATCCTCGGCGTGTTTACTTGGTAGTATGCCCCATGATAAAAAAAATATATCAAACACTGCATTCTGGGCTGCATCTGTTATCATCATCATTATTATTATTCTTCTTTGGCGATCCCTCGTAGCTGAGTAAGATTGTCTTCCATAAACACGGTTTTAACAACGAGTCCATAAGTGACTGTGGAGGCCAATTCTGGATCCGCACGTCCTTCCACAGTGGGGACATCGGTTTCCGGGTGGGAGTTGATCACGGTGTGGATTTGCGAAGCTTGCCTTCCTCTTAGCACGTTTCTCCCTTGCGTCCTGAGTTTGAGTGTCTTCAAAGCCCATGACACCTTTGGTAAAGGCTGTTCTCCAACTGGAGCGCTCACAGGCCAGTGTTTCCCAGTTGTTAGTGTTTATAAATTTGTCTTGAGACAGTCTTTAAACCTCTTTTGTTGACCACCAACATTACGCTTTCCATTTTTAAGTTCGGAATAGAGTAGTTGCTCTGGAAGACGATCATCAGGCATCCACACAACATGACCAGCATAGCTGGAACGGAGCTTCTTGGCTGCTAGTGCAAATTTAGCTACCTGGTGTGTAACATACAGACGTTTATCTGCAAGGAGTTCAACTGTTGCTCCTGTGCAGATCGACCTGGAAGCCAATTAAGAACTGGCAATATAAATTGCCCTCTAGGCATTGTATACAGGAGGCAAATCAGCAGAGAGAGTGTGATGTCCTCTGCTTGATTGCACCCATGTATACATTTGCGTTCCGTAAGGGGAATTCCCTGATATCTTCCCTCTAAATATGAAGAGGGCATCCGTTGAAATCTTAGTTCTACAAAGGCGCTGCGTTGTTGTGGGAAGGTCAGAGTCTCAAGGTAATGGGGCCTTGAGTGATGAGGCTTAATTTGGGGGTGCCAAGGCGAGGAACAGGCAGCAATGAAGGATGCTCTGTCTTGGTTGACATCCTGATCAAAAAACCAATTTCTAAAGTCACACAAGCTAAGGACTAAGTAGTTCTCCATTTGGAAACTATAAGCCCTAAGCCTATCTTGGCATTTTTGTGCCCAGCCTCCTTAGGTGCTCTAACCAGCAGAGCTTAGTAAGGGTAAGACCCTCAAAGGCATTTAATTTGTGCCAGTATCTCAAATAGGCTGGATCAATTCTGGCTGCTAGTGAGGGGAGGCCCAAATTGGCTCTCAGGTAGGCTGCCGGTGTCCCACAGGGAAGGCTCAAAATCTGCCCCACAAATTCATGTTGTAGGACCTCTATTTCAGATTTGACACCAACTCCCCATATCTCAGCCCCATAGAGCATTTGGACGATGATTTTAGATATGTCTAAAACGATTAGATGATTAACTGGCTGCCCTTTGAATGGAAGAACCTATATAGCTGCCCAGTAGAACAGCCAGGTATTAGCTCAATTGCTTCCAGATGGGGTTTCCATGATAACTTCCCATCAATAAGTAATCCTAGACAATTAATTCTGGGTACTTTCTCAAGGGTGTGACCATCTACAGAGTCCACCTGGACTTGGTAGTCCTCTTGCCAAATGCAGTGACCTTGGTTTTAACGTAGTTGATTTTTAGATGCTCTTTTTTTACACAGCTGTTCAAATTTAACCAGCATCCTTCTAAGTCCGATTTTATTATGGGAGAACAAAACTAAGTTATCAGCGTAGAGCAGAATTGGCACTCTATGATTCCTGAGGGTGGGGGCGAAGAAGGATGGGGATGCCATATCAGGAATGAGATTGTTTATATAGTAATTAAATAGGAAGGGTGCCAATATACATCCTTGCTTGACACCTCTGTTAACTGGAGTGCTTTGAAGGCCCAGTCTCACTTGCATGAAATCCCCCAATGTAGTTGTTGGATGAGCCAGAGAAGACTTTGAAATAACAATAAACCTGGATCCTTTGGAAAGCCTTTGGCTGAATTGATGTTACCATATTTAGACTGCCGTCTGTCGTTTTCTGAGAATGAAATTGCTGGTATCCTTATGCAATTATACAAATCTATGGTGCATTTGGAATACTGTGTACGGTGCTGGTCACCTCACCTCCAAAAGGGCATTGTAGAGCAGAGAAAGTTTCGGACAAGGGCAACGAAAATGGTCAATGGGATGGGACAACTCCCCTGAGGGGAAAGGTTGTGGCGCTGGGGACTTTTGAGAGAAAAGGCGAGTAAGGCGAGACCACAGGAGGAGAGAGGGCTCTTGCGCTCATGTTCTTCTTCCTGGTTTCCCACAGGCATCTGGTTGGCCACTGTGAGAACAGGATGCTGGACTAAGTGGGCCATTGGCCTGATCCTGTAGGCTGTTGTTGTTCTTGTTTAGTCGTGTCTGACTCTTCGTGACCCCATGGACCAGAGCACGCCAGGCCCGCCTATCTTCCACTGCCTCCCACAGTTTGGTCAAACTCATGCTGGTAGCTTCAAGAACACTGTCCAACCATCTCAACCTCGGTCGTCCCCTTCTCCTTGTGCCCTCCACCTTTCCCAACATCAGGGTCTTTTCCAGGAGTCTTCTCTTCTCATGAGGTGGCCAAAGTATTGGAGCCTCAGCTTCAGGATCTGTCCTTCCAGTGAGCACTCAGGGCTGATTTCCTTAAGAATGGATAGGTTTGATCTTCTTGCAGTCCATGGGACTCTCAAGAGTCTCCTCCAGCACCATAATTCAAAAGCATCCATTCTTCGGCGATCAGCCTTCTTTATGGTTCTTCTTATGTTCTTAATAAACGGGGAGTCAGGATCAGTTCACACTTCGGTGCAGCTACTGGGTTCTCTTTCTTTCTTTATTGAATTTGTATCTCGACCTTCCTCTCAAGGAACCTGGGACTTTCTGCAAGCAAAACTGGCTGGTGGTCTATCCCCTAATTTGCTTAGAAGAGATACGACACATGAAGTCCATTGGCACACCTCACAAAAGCAAGGCCTTCAATTTAGGAAAGGTTAGTGGGGGGGATCCCCGAGCAACAGAGGATATTTCTAAACCCACCCCCTGTGAATTCCACCAGGGTCTAGAGATACAATGAGATTAGGCCGCCTGTTGAACAGGCTGTTGTTCAAACGGCTACCCAGTGCATTTTATTGGTGTCCTGGAGAGGTGTGTTGAGTTTATACTTCCAGTAAAGGCTGGTCTTTGCAGAATGCCTTTGGTACACTGGCCTTTCAGATCTGTCTAAAGCAGATGGGACTATTAAACCGGATAATTTGCTTACTCAGTTACTGCAGCTCCGTCTAAAAAAAGGAAATGAACTTTAAAAAGTCAACCGCACCATATGAATCTGATGAAATGAAACTCAGAGCCCCGCAAATCCCTTAATCAGGAAAGACAAGGCAACGACCTTACCTTGGTCTCGGACGGACAGGGAGATGCAAAGATGCTGCCCCAATTTCAATAGTGGTGGACAGTGATTTAGTGATGTTGAGGACAATCCTAGTAGTGACCTGGTATCGCTGGGGTGCTGGTATCGCTGGGGTGCTATTGTTCTTCAGTTCTCCATGACATTTTGTTGTGAGCAGGGATTTTCAACTCTGACAAATATGAAAGATCAGAAAAGAGAAGGGCTTCTTTGAGTTGATGAGAAGATGAGGGTTTGTGTCAAACTAGACCAAATATAAAGGAGATTACCTGGCAAAAACAAGGTCACACCTCTCATTGTATACGTATTTAAGGTACATATATAAGAGGCTCGTTTATAATTATATTTTGGAAATGATTCGTGCTCTTATGTAGCTGTGTTGTTTTATCCTTTCTGGCTGTCCTGTGTTCATATTATAAAGTAATTGTGTTCTGCGTTATCAATCAAGCACTGCTACTTCTTTTTCTATGTATTTCTTACCCAGAAAAAATTCAGAGTGGTGCATGCAAGTTTTTATTCTGAAAGTGTGGCCCAGGGGGGAAAGTTTGAGAACCACTGCTCTATACTGTCCAACACTTTGAAGCCAAAATCTGGAACGCCATCTTCCCATTGTTATTTTTATCGCAGCCATTTTGGTTGCTGAAATATACTCAGAGTCAAGAGTGGATTTCATGCTCTTTATTCAGCTCATAGTGGTGAGGAGGAATAGAAGTCCCCTCAAAGTATCTGCTTTATATACATTATTTACACAATGGGCTGCACATGATTGGCTAATTCCGGAATTCTCCTGTAGGCCAATCAGGTTGCGGATTCACTCCCACCTGGAGCTGGATTGGGTGGCTCCTGCGGACCAATTAGACTGCTGCATTGTTCTAGGACCAAACAGACTGCTGCATTCTGAATCCTATTCTTCTAGGACCAATCAGACTGCTGCATTTTGGATCCTATTGTTTTAGGACCAATCAGACTGCTGCAGTTTGGATCCTATTCAACTCAGTACATAACAGTTGCCATGATCTCCAGCGACTCTGTGCCATGGTCCCCCCTCCCCTGGAAAAAAAAATGCTTTCGGGGGGTGCAGTGTGGCCCTGGAAAAAGCGCTTTTGGGGGGAGAAATGGTGCTGTGAAATCCCGTGAGATCACAGCAACCAAAATAGTCGCTGTTCTCTCATGATAAAAAAACAACAACGATATCCCAGTTTTTCCAGGACGCTTGAGGGAAATGCTGGTCTACATAGACTGGCAGAGGCCTTCTGGAATTTCTCTTCCTGCCTTACCCGGAAATGCCATTCCGAAGCAAACCTGGGACCTTCTGCATGCAAAGCAGATGCTTCTTCAGGCAGGCGAGACCATCAGAGTCTCTTGGCCTGCCAATGTTTTTATCACTTTTCCATCCATCAAACAAGCATGAGACTCTGCAGCGTGCCTGTGGAGGGGCTCAGACTCACAGCCTTGGCAGGTGGCCCAGTTGGCTGGCATCACCCACTGCCTTGCCACATCCAGGGCACAAGAGCTTCCCTGTGTGGCTGGCCAAACATCTGCAAGCAGCATAATGAAAAGCACCCCCCCTCAATGTAACATACAGGTTTCGTACTGTTCCCCAAATACAATCCTGCTGGATGGATTGTCAGCGGAGCTAGCAGTTTAAGCACACGATATGCAAGGAGTCATTCAGCAGGGTTTTCTGATTGGAAAAAAGAAAATGTGCTCCAAGTCACGTTTCCCCTCAGCCTCCCCCTCGCAAAACCAACTGTAGAAATAATCAAGCATATAATCTATGCATAAAGGATGGGATGGTATTTGTTTTGCATTATTTCCTACATACCTCTTCAAACGTAGAGGTGGCACTTCTAATTCGTGGCGGGCCACTCAGCCCTTAATCGACTTGCCTTTGCCAACACTTCTGTGGAATAAATCACCTGTTTCACAATTTTACAGATGAGGAACAAAGGATGAGGAACGCTAGGCTCACCCAAAGCTACAAAGCACGTCTGCGCAGCAAAAGCAGGAGTTTAATCGTGTTGACAGTTCACCTCATCCTGCCTCTTCCCGCAGCGAGGCCGGGAGCTGGACAGAACCACCAGTTCTGTCACCTGGAAAATCCCCCAGGGCGTTCAGGAATCCATTCTATTCCATAAGACTCCGGTGGGGATGAGGAGAAATTCAATTCAGTTTGCATTTAATGTAGAATCTATCAAAGGTGCATGTTCCAAAACAATACAAGAACCAAAGGTTCAGACATACTTTGAAATTTGAATTAATCCGAATGCCATGATGCAGTTCGTAGCTAATGTCTACCAAAAAGACCTGCATATATCGGCAGGAAATGTACATAGAAATTAATTTGTTAGTGAAAATCACATGCAAAATGGGGCTGGACTAGATGACCCTCGGGGGTCTCTTCCAACTGTACAAAAAATATTTCTTTTTTACTTTGGGCAACAGCCTTGCATTATTTGAGCTGAGACATTCTCACTTCACTTGAGAAGCCTTCTCTATTTCCCTTCTCATTTCCATAAATGCTTTTCCATAAATGTATTTGGAAAAAAAATGCATTTTATTAAATCGCTTGCAAAAATATGTGTCGAATGCTGTCCCTGTTGAGGGGCATCTGTCTCCCCTATTGTGAACATACAGGAAGAATTTTAAAACAATTCTTGTTTACCCAGGCATTAGGCGGCTGAAATATTGTTCCCACCAACCTAGAAATCATTAGCTGTGAGAATATGTGACTGTCTGGAAATGGTTTTAGATGTTTTTAATTGTCTTTAAACGTTTTTATTTTAAAAATGCATTGCTTTGCTGTCACCTCCCTGAGCTCCATTGTGGGGCTTTGACACTGATCCTGCCTTAGAAAAGGGGTTGGACGAGATGAGTTCCTTCCATCCAGTGATTTTAGGATGCAGGGATAGACTGTGACTGATCTAACACATTTTATGTCTTCATACTTGGGTGATTAATTAGATGTTAATGGTAAAGGGACCTCTGACCATTAGGTCCAGTCATGGCCGACTCTGGGGGTGCGGCGCTCATCTCGCTTTACTGGCCGAGGGAGCCGGCGTACAGCTTCCATGTCATGTGGCCAGCATGACTAAGCCGCTTCTGGCAAACCACAGCAGAGCACGGAAACACCATTTACCTTCCCGCCGGAGCGGTACCTATTTATCTACTTGCACTTTGACGTGCTTTCGAACTGCTAGGTTGGCAGGAGCAGGGACCAAACAATGGGAGTTCACCTCATTGCGGGGATTCGAACCACCGACCTTCTGATTGGCAAGTCCTAGGCTCTGTGGTTTAACCCACAGCGCCACCCGCGTTTGGTCTGTTTTAATGGAGCACGTGGTCATTTTATTCTATGCTGTTTTTTATGAGATGATGGCTGGCACACACACACACACACACACACACTTTAATTTCCCTAAGCCTCTGATGTGGGGCAGACTAGGAATTTAAGCAAGTGAAGCAATACTATGCCTAACTTAAAGACCAACAGGAAACTGTTGTTTGTGCTTGTATAGACAGAAAACCACACCTCTGCTCCTTACGTTTGATGGTGGTTATGACTTTGATTTCTGAACATACGAAGAGCCCTGCAGGATCTGACCAAAGGCCCATGGAGCCCAGTATCCTGTTGCCACAGAGTCCAGACAGATGGCCCATTTCTTTTGAAGGATGGGGGCCTCTCTCATTTTGGCTGTGAGCACAAACTCATCCCCAACCCAGGAGTCCTCTGGCACCATGTGATGCTGTTAGCATCTCCTTGGGAATGACCAAAAGTGATGGTTTTCTCACTTTTTTTGCATGAGACAAGACTCTCTAGAAGGATCTGCAGTACCCTAGATGATGAATGAACCCTGCTTTGTTGTTGCTTTGTTGTTTTAACACTGTTGTAGACTCTGGTCTGTCAACGAGGAATTGGCAGGGTTATCCTGGGACAGAGTTTAGAATGTCTTTTGTCCATCCGTCGCCCCCAACTCCCTATTTTTCATGGTATCTCCTCTTCCTGCTGCTGCTCAGAGTATATTTCCAGGTAGAAGACTTCTGTGTACCATGGCAGATGGTCTGTATTGATTTGTTTTAATTTAATTTAATTTAATTTGCCAGCCGCCCTTCATCAGAGGGTCACAGAGTGGTTTACACTGTATTAAAAAATACATAGCATAATAGCAAATGAAACAATAACCACCCCCTCTGTACAATTGTAAGGGGTCTCTAATAAGGGTGTATGATGGAAGGCCTTTTGACTGAAGGCATAAAGGTAAAGGGACCCCTGACCATTAGGTCCAGTCGTGGCCAACTCTGGGGTTGCGGCGCTCATCTCGCTTTATTGGCCGAGGGAGCCGGTGTACTGCTTCCGGGTCATGTGGCCAGCATGACCAAGCCGCTTCTGGCGAACCAGAGCAGCGCACGGAAACGCCATTTACCTTCCCGCCGGAGCGGTACCTATTTATCTACTTGCACTTTGACATGCTTTCGAACTGCTAGGTTGGCAGGAGCAGGGACTGAGCAACGGGAGCTCACCCCGTCGTGGGGATTCGAACCACCGACCTTCTGATTGGCAAGTCCTAGGCTCTGTGGTATAACCCTACAGTGCCACGATAACCGCCCCATCTGTACAATTGTAAGGGGTCTCTAATAAGGG